TGGGCTAGTAGTTTAGAAATATAATGCCACTAAGTGTCAATTATAGGTGAAGAGGAACAGGGAAACATACAGCTGACAGGCGGAGTTAAGTGGTAGATAATAAATGGATAAATGGATATTAGTAAGAATTAAAATGGAAATCGTTAAGCGAAATTGAAACTTAGCACGCCTCACTGGATCGTGCCAGGAAGTGCAGTCACTCAAGAGAGGGTTAAGTCGACTTAGAAGGAAGTGGCACACCAACAAAGGTAAATAAAAGGTATATATTAAAATACGAATTATGTATGAGATAAAGCAAGAAAACAAAACAACACAAAATAATTACTGTTAACTGTTAACTTTAAACAAAATAAAACAAAATACAAAACAGAGTCACCGCTCACTTACGTCAGCTGCATGACAAGGAGATCGAGCGAATAGGAATCAAAGCTGAAGAGAACAGGATAATCCATCCGTCCATACAGATGCCAGTTGAAAGTGCCCATTTATTACTCGTGAAAGGGACTGCGAATATTCCGCCCTGTAGTAGTAGGTTGAAAATAAAATTAAAATAAAATTAATGACATTAATAGAAATTAAGATAACCACTCTACCCAAAGTGTCACTGTCAGCTCCTCCAATCCAGCACCAAACAAAACAAGTATCATCTGTCCAGCTGTGGTAACAACCGCCTAATACCGGTAGAAAATTGTGAATGACATGAAATGAAATTATTATAAGCTTCCTTAAGGCATCTTTTAGTGAATTGCCTCAGGACACAGCACAGTGCACTCGTACAGAAGAACCAAAATTAAATTAAGAATTGGAAGCTCCCAGAGGTCCCAGAGGCAGTGAACAAAGGTGGCAATTCTGGTGGAAAAAATATGAAAATGAAATAAAGAAAAGACATGGGCGTAAGTTAAATTGGATATGAGTTAATGAAATGAAATTGAATTATAATGAAGGAATTAATCAGTTGCCATAAGAAATATACGTAAAAGCACTACTCGCCAATGATTAACAATAATAACTATTGCAGAGGATGGTCAAAACGAACGAGGCGACAAGAGCGAATAAAGGGAGGCCGAAAGATAGTCCCACCCACATAAGTGCATCATCAGAAGAAAGCAGTCCAAACGATCGCGAAGTCCGGCCGCAATGCACTATTGGACATACTTTAGTCTGAAGAGAAATCGGAGGAATCCCTCAAACTCATACCTCCGGCTGACCCCTGAACGCGACAAATACTGCTCCATTATAATGAAGGTAATAATCGTGCTTATTCAAGGAATGCTTAAAATATGAACTTCTGAAGCTAAAATTTGTAGAGCTTATAAAGTTTCAGCGCACCGCATCGGGTCATGGCAGGAAGCATATCAGCGTCCAAGGGGATCAAGAGTTGGCACACCAGTCGAAGGGGTAGTAGATGATAGTAGAACAGTACGAAACATGAATTATGAGGTAAGAAAAGAAATACCATGACCATATACAAACTATCGTTTACCCATTTGACAATTTAGTCGATACTTAGCAATAAAATAGGTAAAATTGAATTTAGTCAATTAGTACAGAGAGCAATTGAGACAGGCGCACTGATTAAGCGGAAGTCTAGAGAGGGCAATCCCGTTTATACAAATGTATTTCCTGCTAGGGACAGACCATCCAGTTTCCATGAAACCGAGCCGCCAGTGCCCCCCCGCTAGAAATTTCAAGGGAGACTAAGGTATGAACTTCACCCACCCACACCTCAGGTCAAGCCACCGAGCAAAATTCGTAGCAATCCACTAATGGTAATAATCGCTCGTACAGTGATTGAGGTTACTGAAATTAACAGAGTCGCGAAGTTTATGAGGTTTATGGATTTATGAATTTAGTGAATTCACAGGTTCGCGAGTTTCCAGCGAGTTTCCAGCGCTCTTACTCTGATCGCGGCAGAAATCATACCCGCATCAGAGAGAATTAGGATTTGACATACCAGTCAAGAAATGAAACAAAATAACAATGCTTATAATATACAGCATAACATTATGAATGCAATGGAATTGAATTCGTTATTATAGAATTAGACACTGTATACAAGGCCCCCATTTACCTCTCACCATTCATTTCTTTAATTTATCTCTAATTAGCAACCAATGACAACAGCAACCAGTAATCAATAACTGGTTACTAGATACTAAAGGGAGTGACTGGAAACCAAGGAGGCGAAAGGAAGGAAGAGAATATTCCCTGCCCCGCCAAGCGCAGTAACCGCCAGGAAAGATCATCATATTGATAATTGATAAAACCGGACCGGCAGGGCCTAGTGACAGTAACCAGGTTAGTTAATAATTAATAATAAACAATAAACAATAATAAGAATCAATAATCGATAATCAATAAGAATCAATAATTGAGTCCTAGGAGTGGCATTCCCACCTGCCCATGCTCCCAGGGGCAGTCCAGCACCCAACAGCCAGAACTCAATACACAAGGCAAGACCGGATTCAAAGCAGCCAAATAGATCGAATCGGAACCAGCCACAATCCAAAGAATGATCTGGCAGAGCGCATTCATGACAGGCGATAAACAACTAGGATTGCCGGTACTGTCAATATTTAGGCGCCTCGCTATATTTGTATATGCAATCAGTAAGAAGGGATTGTTAAGTAAGGGAATTAATTATTAGCCGAGATGGTGCAATGGGCGACAGTAACCAACGTAAAAGGTAGGGGGTGTGAAATTATTAAAACCAGCCAACCAAATCACCCCAGGCAGCAAAACTGGCCAATCCCAATCCAGTTCAGATCGAATTCTATTCCAAAACCCAAATCCCAAACCCCAGAAATCAAATCATAAGTCTCACACCGTGAATTCTGGATCCGAATTTCAGACTTCAGGGTGCTCAATCCACTTAAACCTACGTATTACTGAATCAGCAACATAACTGTGAAATTGTTGCAGGTAATAGACTAAAAGCTACAGAAGCGGATGCATTAATCCAGAATCATTCGGCCATAAAACTGGCAGCATAGGATCAACATAGGGTCAAATATCCGCAGCTAGAGAGTTAAATGAGTTAAGTGAGTTAAATGAAGACAAGAAACGTACCAAATAGCGCAGTGTGCTAGAAGTCAAACAATACAAATAAAGGCGATGAATAGAAATGCGAGAGTCAGATCTATACCCATTATTATATCCTCCGATTCCTACTTTTAGCAATAAACAATCAATTCAATGAGCTCAGAACACAGCTGAAATCGGTTCGGATGTCAAATGTCATCCAGAATACATGTTAACTAATTAACCAATTCAACCAACCAAGTAACTAACAGCTAACAACCAATATTGTCAAATTCAAGGAACCCAGGCAGCATTCGTTTGTCTATACATCACAAACGTCTGCAAATCGCAAAGAGCCACCGCATGAGGCGGATGGCAAAAGCAAAGCAAAATAATAAAATAAGCCTGAGTAGTAAATTGAATTGAATTGAATAAAGAAAGAATGTGGTAAGTAGGCAAACATCAAAGAAAGGAAAGGAAAGGAGGCTGCCGTAGCGCGCCCAGAACCATGATTCCGCGCGCGCAGCATTCAGCCCTCACCGCCGCGCCCGCCCAGCCCCACCACCGTCCAAACGAGACTAGCGCAACAGCCAATCCCCTTCTGAAAGAGGTGGCCAACCGCGTAACTCGCCCAATCTGCGCAGCGCCACGAGCCGCGAGCACCGAATCATCATTAAAGAACATTCATCGCATCAGATCAGCATCGCGGCCTGAAATTGGGGTAAGCAATCCGACAGATAGTAGTAACGTTAATAACCATGTCACAGTCAATCGGCCGTATGAGCGATCGAGAGACCTGCAGCCACCAACCATGCAGCCGATGCATACTGCAGCGCTGCAGCGCTGGCCCCCCATAACCCCTGAACCTTAACCATGCTGTAACTCATTCGCACAGTCGTACTTAAGATGCGAGCATGAAACATAACATATGAAACATTAATACGCCCCTCATTGCCCACAGAGCCCACACGAGGCCAGGATCAAGAATCAAATTAATATAAGAAGACGTAGACGAAGAAGTCAGCAGAGAGAAAACAGAAGAAGAAGCAGGAAGCAGGAAGACAGTGGAGAGAGAAAGAAACTAACATCCTCATTAATTAAGTAAGTTACTTGAAGTTACTTGAGGTTGTCCAAAGTCTAAAGTCATTAAAGTCATTAGTCAGCTTGAGTATGTTAACACGATTGTCAGGATTACATAATCAATTAGCGAAACGTAACATAAATGTAACAACAAGACCAACCAAATAAGCAAATAGAATACACGAGCAACCAATATGCATGAACCAGGAAATAATTCGATGATTCAATTAACAGAGACAACAATGTCCGCCTTCACCGTGCTGCAGGCAAACCTAAACCACTGCCGCGCCGCACAGGACGTTCTTTGGCAAGCCGTGCACGACTACCACGCCGACATCGTGGTGATAAGCGAGCCGTATCGTCCGCGCCCAGAGTGGTACACCGATCCAAGCGGAACCCTGAGCGTGTGGTGCGTACAGCGGCCGCCACCAGCCGCCGAACTCGGCGCGATTCGTAAGATCCATACCTCCGATGGCTATATTGGCTTAGAAACCCGTGACTTTATTATACTAGGGTGCTATTTTTCTCCTTCACTTACAATGGCTACCTATGAAGGCCAGCTAGATAGCCTGTCGGCAGGCATTGTTTCATCCAGCAAGCCCTCAATCATAGCCGGAGATTTCAACGCGCGCTCCGTACAATGGGGATCGGATCGAACCGACGCGCGCGGATATCGATTAATACGTGTCTGCGAGCAAACCGGTTTAATACCCGTGAACAGTAGAGGTGGCCCCTCCTTTACCCGTAATCGCCAACAATTCCGAATCGATGCAATGGCGTGCAGCCGCGACCTAAGAGCTCGCCTGACACGTTCCTTTGTATCCGCAAAGTACACCGGCTCCGATCATAAATATTTAGTACACCGCTTCGCTGCCACCCCCGCCTTTATAAATTCCTCCATGAATTCCGAGTGCAGCATCCAGTATGGCCCGCCCAGCATGGAGGAGTGGGCTTCCATAATAACTAACAATTTAGCCCTACCACCGGAAACGCCCACTTGGATTCGCGATTTAACAATTCACCAATTCGAAAGCCGAACAGATATAGATAACGCCATATCCGACTTAGAATCATGGTATGAAGCCGCGCGGGTACCGAGAACCCTTAGAAAACAGAAATATGTTTCCTGGTGGAACAAGGAACTAACAAAACTTCGCCAAGCTGCAACACATTCTCGCGCAAAGTGGCACCACGCAGCCCCGCGCGTATCAAACGTTCTACAACACCCCCTTCGCCTGCGCATGCTGTCCGACCGCCGAGCTCTGATCAAGGCCATACGTAAAAGCAAGGACGCTTCGTGGTCTGAAATGATCAACGAAATAGCCCGATATCCCTGGAGCAAGCTCTATAAGGCCGTAATGAAGCGATTAAAGGGAGTATCACCGCAAACACGCCTTAACGAAACCGAGTTCAAAGCAGCCGTGTCACAATTGTTCATAACCGAACCCCCAGCAATTGCAGAGATTACAGAAAATGAACCTACCCCTCCTGTCGCGTCAGTAAGCCCCGACAATACCTCTACCCTGTTTGCCCCCTCAAATCGGCCCTCCAGCCCACAGCCCGGACCGAGCCACGCCTGTCCCAGGCAACAGCCCATGATGAATTTATTAGATTTGCACACCCCGTCAATTAATCAAGCCATCGCCAGCGCAAACGCAAGCATTAACCCCATTCCAGCCGGCAATGCCCCAAGCCGCCAAGGGGTACCAGAAGATCCACGAGATCCACGGGTACCATATCCATTTAATGCCCTCGACATCGCCACGGCCCTCGGCAAAGTATCCAGAGGGAAAGCGCCCGGTCGTGACGGAATAACCGGAGAAGCCCTTCGCCCTCTTTACAAGTTAGCACCCGAATGGGTACGTGACCTATTCAACGCCTGTTATCGCTTATCATACTTTCCCGCCACCTGGAAGATCGGTCGATTGGTATTAATACCGAAACCCGGAAAGCCTTTCAATTCGTTTTCAGATCTGCGCCCCCTTTGCATGCTGTCAAACCTCGGTAAAGGTTTTGAATACGCCCTGAGGGAGCATTTAGAACAGGCCCTACTAGATTCTGGAGATTTGTCACCTCGACAATTCGGCTTTCGCCGAAAGCGGTCAACCCTACAGGCAATGAAGGTAGTGATGTCGGAATGGAATCGCGCCCGCGAATTTGGAAGTCACTGCCTATTGATCGGTCTTGACGTAAAGAACGCATTCAACACCGTTAGATGGGAAAATATCATTTCCGCTGCACGCCGCCCTAATTTCCCTGTCCTCCTAATAGCGATGCTAGAGAGTTACCTGAACAGCCGATTTATAGGTACCACGATGCCGGATGGCACGTGGATAGAACAGGAAGTGTTCGCCGGTGTCCCGCAGGGATCAGTCCTAGGACCATTCCTATGGAATTTAGCGTATGACTCAATTCTAGAGATCGCACTACCCCGCAATGTAACAACCATCGCGTTTGCAGACGACCTAGCTCTGATTATACTAGGTCGGCTGGCCAATCTACGCGAAATAGCTGAGCTCGCGTTATAACAACTCAGCATATGGTATCGCAGAAACAATCTAACCCTTGCTACACATAAGACCGAAGCCGTCCTTTTAACAGGTCGTCGGGTACGCGCCGGTCTAACCTTACAGCACGAATCCTCTGTGATTCAAACCGTCTCCTCGATGCGTTATTTAGGCACGATGTTCAGCAACACCCGAACCTTCCGCAGTCATGTACTGAAGGTCACCGAGAAAGCAAGCAGAGTTGCTCAACACTTGGCCTGGCTCCTGCCAAACCTGCACGGGGGTGGGCATAAGCCTCGGATGCTATATTATCGTGTTACCGAATCGATTGTGCTATACGCCGCGCCAGTGTGGCACGAAGCCGTGAAATACAAGAATATGGTTCGTATACTATTATCCACGCAGAAGCTAGGTTTCACACGCGTAGCCCATTCCTACCGCACCGTCTCGCACGACGCCCTCACCGTCCTAACCGGTTGTATGCCCTGGCACCTGACAGTGCAAATCCGGCAACAGTTATACGGCTTTGAACCCGACACAGTGGAAGAATATGACAGGTACATCGCCGCCGCACGAGAACAAGCCCAAGCCAGCTGGCAACGCCACTGGGACAACACGCGATACGGCGCATGGACCCGCCGTTTAATACCTAATATAGGATTTTGGATAAAGAAGAATGGACCCTTATATTTGAACTATTATTTAACCCAGGTTCTTACTAATCACGGATGCTTCAACTCATACCTATATCGAATTCAACGCAGCAGTACCCCAAATTGTTGGTTCTGTGACCCGCCCGTAATCGACGACGCAGAACATACCGTATTCCACTGCTCACGGTGGACCGCCGAACGTATGCGGGTCATAATGGAAGTAGGAGTATTATACCCCGAGACCCTAGTAAACTGTGTGTTAGATGAAAACCGTCGAAACCCTTTACTAGCATATTTAGCAGAGATATTAAAGAAGAAGGACAGTATAGAACGTGCGCGGCAACGCGGCGGGCTAGTGCCAGCCCGACGCAGAGTCCATCGCAGGCGAGCATAACCCACCACTCACACGCGTCCACACACAACCACCACAGCATCCGATCAATCCGCCCCCCGCCATTGACAGTGAACAGGTATTCATCGTGCCAATCCACTCAATTCCTCGACATCAATGAGAGATCCCGTATATGCCGTATGTATATGGCTACAAGACCTATACACACCTAGTATACATTAACGGGTGGAGAAAATTGTACCCGAGTATGAAATAATAAATACAGTTATTAAGCACCAACAACAATAGAATCACTCATTGACCCATCCAGCTCCCGCATTCCGAATCATAACAATCCAGGTTCACGAATGACCAGCACCATAGGCAGCCCGCCAAATAAATAAAACAGATAAGACAGGCGAGCAGGTTGACAATAAGCGATAACAATAAGCAATAAGCAAATAGGTAAATAAATAAATAGGTAAGTAAGGAAATAGTAATACTTGAATTATTGGTTTAATAAATGAATAAATGAGTAAATGAATAAATGGACAAAATAGGAATTAAATAAATGAATACACGAAAATGACCGAGTATGAGTGTATGAATAGATAAATGCATGAATAAATGAATAAATAAAGAAAAGAAGTGAGTAAGTTGCAATCAGCTGTTCATAACAGCAAAATACAACCTGTAAGGCTGACAAGAGACTAGAAGGTAATCTAAAGATTAAATCAGAGTACAAAGCCCTTAGAATGCGGGAATAGGGTATAGTGTGTAGGGTATAGGGTGATTACGTCAATAATAAACAATGATAATAGTAGGCAAAACACTTTAATCAACATAGAGTTAAATCAATCATATCATTAAGTATAACACATTAAACCAAAACCGACTGCAGCAACACATCAATACAAGCGGAAGCAGAAGCGTCTAACAAGACACCGAGTACGTCACATTTATTAATGATAATGGTAAGAACGCCCAGCATGACAAGCTCGCCATTCCAGCCATCCCAATGTGGTTACGCTAAAGCAGGTGCAAGGCAAATAACCAATAATAATATCTAGTATTAGCTATTATTAATAACGAAAGAGTTGAAGCAAGGCGTAGTAAAGTCGCAAAAGAAGAAAGGCTATAGACAACAGATAGATAGGGGAACCATATAAGCGTGTACAGCCTCGCACACTACCACACACAGTGTCTTCCACGTCGAATAATAATATGCCAGCACAGCACAGCACAGCATATCACATCATAACGTAGCATAGTAGCACAATAATACATTATCAGCACAACAATATAATCCTATAGAAGAAAGGAAAATAAGAGAAAATAAGAGAAATAGAAATAGGAATAGATAAGTAGTAAATAATCGATCAGTTAATCAGTTAATTAGTCAGTCAGTCAATCAATCAGCATAATCAATGTAATCAATGTAGTCAACGAAATCAAGTAATGTAATATAAGCAGTAACGATACAATTGTGATATGTATTAGACCATAATGGGTCATAATAAGTAAGATGCAGGGGTGTAAAATGTAGTATAATAATATAATATAATAATATAATATAGAATATAGAATATAATATAATAATATAATGATGCTGTAATACCATAATACTATAGTACCATAAGGGATATAAGGAAGATATAGGAAGATACAAGAGATTTCACAAAAGGTAAGCAAAATAAGATAGAATAGCAGAATAACAAAATATTAAGATATTAAGATATTAACTACTAAGATAGCATGATAGCAGAATAGTAAGGTGATACTGTGAAATGAAAAGGAAGAATGAAAAGGAAAAGAAAAGAAAAGAAGAAAAAGAAAATGAAGAAAGAAAGTGAAGCAAAGAAAGAAAATGAAGCAAATAAAATAAAACATAAAGTGGGATAAGATGAAGTAGGATACAATGAATTGAAAAGAAGAAACAGTTATAAAATAAGACAAAATAAAATAGATAGCGGATGACTGAAAAGTAACAAAATAAAGTGAATAGTAAAATAAAATAACTAAAACAATCTAAGATAAGATAAGACGAGATGTAAGATGTAGATGCAAATGCAGACGTAAATGCAAATGTAGATGTAGCGCAAAGTAGCGTAGCATAGCCTAACACATAGCCCAGCGCATGGCCTAGCGCGATCTCACGCAGCCAAACATAATAATATAATATATATAACATAATATAACATAATATAATATAATATAATATAACATATGACATAGTGAAATATAGTGGAATAAAGATAGTAACGTAGTAATAAGGTAGTAAAGTAGTGAAATATAGTGGAATATAGCGAAATGAACATATCATCGTCAATAGCGACCATAGACAATTGATCTTTTCCTATCGCGTCGTCGCCGCGTACCGGCGGAACGGGTCGAACCGGCCCGAATCTCATCGTCCCTTTCCGTCTAACGCACCATAGCCGTGCTACCACCTCTTTCGGGCTCTTCGCAGATTCGTACCCGCGCAACGCTCCACCCAATCTGAATCTCTCTGAGTCCAGAGACTCGATCAAACAATTCGGCCGCACACTCTAGCTTCGCTCGAAATCTGCCAGCCCGATCCATCCCTGAGCTGATGCACCGGATGTATCGGATATTGTCGCTATTAGCAGACCCACATCCAGCTCCAGCTCCAGCCTCAGCTCCCGTTTCTGTCTCTGTTTCCATTTCCGCGCTTATCGCGCACCTAACAGCGCGCACGACATCTTCAGCTTCCACCGTCGGATCGATTTCTGAGACATCGATCACTATGAATTGTCGCTTGATTCGGGCCTTCCACCCAGCACCGAGTCGGGTATCGATACTTTTAACAAATTCTTCGGCACAGTCCCTCTTCCCTTCTGCGAAGGTGAACAAAATTGCTCCATCCTGCAAACGTTGAATACCAATCACGTGGTTTTCGCCCATGCATTCGCCAGCGTGTTTTTTAATTTTGCGTACAGCTTCCACGTAACTGCATTTCTCATTATAAATGACCTGAACCTTGGTCCTATACCCGTGGCGCGGCAGCTGCTGCTGCTGTTGCTGTAGTTGTTGTTGCCGTTGTTGCTGTTGTTGCTGTTGTTGTTGTTGCCGCTGTCGCCGCCGCTGCCGCTGATGATGATGGCGCTGCTGATGCTGATGCTGCTGCCGCAGCCGCTGTTGTCGTTGTCGTTGTCGTTGTCGTTGTCGTTGTCGTTGTCGTTGTCGTTGTCGTTGTCGTTGTCGTTGTCGTTGTCGTTGTCGTTGTCGTTGTCGTTGTCGTTGTCGTTGTCGTTGTCGTTGTCGTTGTCGTTGTCGTTGTCGTTGTCGTTGTCGTTGTCGTTGTCGTTGTCGTTGTCGTTGTCGTTGTCGTTGTCGTTGTCGTTGTCGTTGTCGTTGTCGTTGTCGTTGTCGTTGTCGTTGTCGTTGTCGTTGTCGTTGTCGTTGTCGTTGTCGTTGTCGTTGTCGTTGTCGTTGTCGTTGTCGTTGTCGTTGTCGTTGTCGTTGTCGTTGTCGTTGTCGTTGTCGTTGTCGTTGTCGTTGTCGTTGTCGTTGTCGTTGTCGTTGTCGTTGTCGTTGTCGTTGTCGTTGTCGTTGTCGTTGTCGTTGTCGTTGTCGTTGTCGTTGTCGTTGTCGTTGTCGTTGTCGTTGTCGTTGTCGTTGTCGTTGTCGTTGTCGTTGTCGTTGTCGTTGTCGTTGTCGTTGTCGTTGTCGTTGTCGTTGTCGTTGTCGTTGTCGTTGTCGTTTTTGTCGTCCCTTCCTTTGTTTCGGCTGCTGCTGCAGCTGCTCCTTTCCCGCAGCCCCAGCAGTGCCGCAATCACTTCCCTCGCTGCCTTTATCCTTGTCCTTGCTGCTCCCGGCACGAGAAGAGGGAGCGATAATTACTTCGCCCATCGTCGCCCGTCCAGGGCTCAAACCCTGAGGCGCGGGGGCACGCAGAGGAACAGAAGCCGGATCAGAAACCGGGTCAGTAATGGCTGCGTCCGTTACCCTCTCCCCATCCTCGTCATCAGAATCGGAAATTTCCACAATAATAGATGAGGATTCATAATACTCCA